TGAAGTGAAATGTTCCTAATTAATACATAAGTGGTCTTCTAACAAATAATTACCACGCTATAACTATCTTTACAAATAATTACCACACTATAACAATCGAATTACCACTAAAGATCGTTGTCTGACCTTTTACCCCACTTGGAGTGGTTAACAGACCATCAAATAGTTATGCAACGGTGATTCAGTTTCGTGAGATGAGTCGGCTAATTACTAATTAAGATAAAAAACGCTTAAATGATGAAGATAACTTGTTGGAGTCTCTTATAGATATAAAAAGAAACCAGTAGTTTAATAGATACGGGAATATGTCTGATGTGACTAAAAGCTAGACTAGACTAAATGGTGGTTAATGCAGTTACAGAGGGAAAAATATGAACCAAAAAACTTGACTTAGCACATCTGATGGGACTGAAAGTTAGACTAGACTAAATAGTGATTGGTATAGTTAGTAAAGGAAGGGAAAATTATAATCCAAAAATCTTGACTTAGCCCGTTTGTCGGGACTATAAGTTAGACTAGACTAAATAGTGATTGGTATAGTTAGTAAAGGAAGGGAAAATTATAATCCAAAAATCTTGACTTAGCCCGTTTGTCGGGACTATAAGTTAGACTAGACTAAATAGTGATTAGTATAGTTAGTAAAGGAAGGAAAAATTATAATCCAAAAAAATTTACTCAGCTAATCTGATGGGAAAATTATAATCCAAAAAAATTTACTTAGCCCATCTGATGGGACTGAAAGCTAGACTACTAAATGGCGGTTGGTGCAGTTAGGGAGGGAAAATTATAATCCAAAAATCTTGACTTAGCCCATTTGTCGGGACTATAAGTTAGACTAGACTAAATAGTTATTGGTATAGTTAGTAAAGGAAGAGAAAATTATAATCCAAAAAAATTGCCTCAGCTAATCTGATGGGACTGTAAGTTAGACTAGACTAAATTGCAGTAGGTGCAGTCAGTAACGGAAGGATATTTACAATCCAAAAAATTTTACTTAATCATCTTTTGGTACTAAAAAGTAGACTAACTAAATGGCGGTTAATAATAATAATCAAAAAAACTTTACTTACCCCATTTATCGAGGAAAATGTTATATTAAATCAATAGAAGCTGAGCAATTTGCTCAAATTACGTAATTAAAAACAATGTAGATTTTTTTTTAAACATATTTTTAATTCGTAATTGCGCCGGTTAGTTATAAATAGATTTACGTCACGACTGTAATCCTAGATGGGGTAGTCTGAAGCATTGTCAACTGTGGATGTTGTGGTGAACGCAACACTTACACATTTAAAAATATATACTTTTCCAAAATAATTCCAATTTTAAATCTATTAACATTTAAAACTCAACACAAAACAAAACGTGCATCTCTATTCCTGTCACACAAACTTAAGTATACTATATAACAAACTATATTCAGTCTTAACCTATTATTTATAAGATACGTTTTAATTGCTATACTTATTTTTAATGTCAACATATCTGGAACTATTTTCATCGATTGATTTTCGACTTTCCGTTTTTGTTTATAGAGTTTATTATTGATTATAAATTTTAACATAGACTGAAATAGTTTACTTTGAGCCAGAGTGTGTAATGACAGATTAAGATATCTCTGTGATGTCGAACAAGAATTTAGAATTAGAACTTGGAAAGTCTCAATGGAAATCTCTAAAATTGTTGTCTCTAAGAAATTACTACTAAAAGATTTACTTTTTTTCTACAAAATATAGAGCAAATACACATTTTGTAACTTTACTACTTTACTAAGAATAGAAAAATCTATAATATGTGCACATAATAGATATATTTTTAATTAATCTTTTATATTGTATATATTTCATTCTTTCTCTTTTATATATCCGGTAGTTATTAATTTATTATGTCTCATAAAATTAATAACTGTCATTTACTGTTGTCATGTTCTGAGGCTTTGGCACACTCTACACATCTGTCCAGGACTGCCGTGTCGAAACCAACCCTCATAGCATCAATACTTATAATCTTTGGTGCTATTTATCCTTCTTTTGCAGCTGTTTTATCCTTCTTTTACCTTTTATCATCGCACCGCTCGCCATCGACAGGGCATTCATCCCCACACGCTGCAACCGAAGTGGTCTCGGACAGTGCGGTTTCAGAGGTATCCTCCTGCGTACACTTACATTGTGGAATGAAATATCTGCTGAGGTTTTGTCGAGAGATTACAGCATGAGGTTTTTCAAAAAGGGTATATTAAGGTTTCTTAAGGCGCACGTGACACATCTGGCGTTTCAGGCGTCCATAGGCTACGGTAACTGTTTACTGTCAAATGGGCCGTATGGTTGTTTGACAGCTACGTGGTATAAAAAATGCTGTGGTCCATGCCTCCAGCACCATTATGGAGGAGGATAGTAGTAAGTGGCAAGAGCTTCACTTACGTAAAAACAGAGGCAGTTGCAGTAAACAACCAGTTATTAATAAAACTTGCTCAATATTAGGTTAGCTCTACAGATGGACATTAAGATTTTTAAATAGAAAGTCTCCACCGTCTAGTTTCTAGGCTTTGTTGTTTCTATGACAGAAAGCAGACATACATAAATGAGAAAACTGCTCACAATTACCGTGCACTTCTAACGGATGACAACATTGACCTACTGTGGGCGATAAAGGAAACTAGGAATATATGTATATATATATATATATATATTACCAGCTGTGCCTGCGATTTTTCCCGTGTCAAACTTCAATATATAAATTTCAATAAAAATATAACCTATATGTTGCGTGATCGAATCAGAAATGAGGAGATCCGCAGAAGAACCAGAGTGACCGACATAGCCCGAAGAATTGCGACTTTGAAGTGGCAATGGGCAGGGCACATAGCTCGTAGGACAGATGGCCGTTGGGGCAGTAAAGTCCTCGAGTGGCGACCACGGACCGGAAGACGCAGCGTGGGAAGGCCTCCAGCCAGGTGGACCGACGATCTGGTCAAGATCGCGGGAAGGCATTGGATGCGAGCAGCGCAGGACCGATCGTCGTGGAGATCTTTGGGGGAGGCCTATGTCCAGCAGTGGACGTCTTCCGGGCTGCGATGATGATGTTATTCTAATGCATAACTCTGTCTGCGCCTAATCGGTTAGGAGAGCGACTGCAACTCGTAAATCTTTATAGTTATTTTTATCTCACTCTAATTGTGTGTTGTTTTATTTATATTAACGGCAACACCACACATGGTAACTTTAGTATTAGCGGCCTATTAGTAAGGGAGAGAGTAGCGTATTGTTTACTGCACCGAAAGGTGTTAAGTTCAGGCTGACACAACTAAAAAAAGTGTCGCGTCAATTTATCTTTCTGACTAACTCTCCGGTGATGGAAACATGTAAAACAAACCACGTGATAAATCCCTAGTTATTTGCCATGATCGGCTAACTGACCTGACCCCATGTTCATCTTATCATCCTCCACTGGTGCCTCGCCAGCGTATACCGTTAGCGCAGGCAGTAGCACTATTCCATTATCATCCAACTAAATATATATAACTCAAACAAAGGTGACTGACATAATGATCTATCAATGCACAGCCCAAACCACTAGACGGATCGGGCTGAAATTTGGCATGCTGGTAGATGTTATGACGTAGGCATCCGCTAAGAAAGGATTTTGATAAATTCAACCCCAAGGGCATGAAAGTTTGTATGAAACTTTGTCAATTTTAAACCGATCGGGCTGAGACTATGCATACATAAAGCTACTATGACGTAGGCATCCCCTAAGAAAGGATTTTAATAAATTCCACCCCTAAGGGGATAAATTAACGCGAGCGAAGCCGCGGATAAAAGCTAGTTAAAAACTATGACTTTTATGTGTAGTTCCACACAAAAGTAAAATGAATTTTAATACTATTCCTGATTTACACTGAGCTAATAGTAATGCTGCAAAGGGCGAACTCGCAAAAAGGACAATAAGCATGCGCCGGCGCCACCACAAATAGTTCACCGTGCTGAGTGGAATTCACCCGACTATACTTGGTTCAGTGTGTAATAGTCTTGGCTGGGATGAAGCAAATAATATTGTATCAAATCATTTAATTGCAAAACACAGTGCTTATCATCATTACATAGTATAAAATAAAGTCCCTGTCGCTATCTGTCCGTCTATGTATGCTTAAATCTTTAAAACTACGCAACGGATTATGAATCGGATTTTTAATAGATAGAGTGATTCAAGAGGAAGGTTTATATATATAATACATGTACACCCGGGCGAAGCCGGGGCGAGTAGGTAGTAGGTATATACAATACTATATATTCAACCTGCATACATTTTCATTCTAATTAATTAATAAATTAATTAAATAAATATTTCATTGGAATTACTGGCACTGTATTCTATATTTTAAACTACAAGAAATAGTCGACCCTGTACCCTACAATATAGAGTTCAAACTCGTTGAGTTTCGATTTGGTATACCTTTACCACTAAATCCCACCACCCTCTGGAATTACAACGCATGAGTGGTAACGCGGGTGTCACATAATAATAAATGTCCATAGTGTTCATGTATATGCATATCCCTCTAATATGGTTGAGTGCAATGATGGCTGGCTCATCCGTCATACTCGTGAACGGGTGCTGCTTGTGGGGACTGATCTGTTCAGGTTACGAATACTGATTAGACTTTTTGCTTTTGCAATAGCATATGCTGGTGGTGAATTGGATTTATAATGATTGTATTATTGTAAACATGTACAACGTATATTTGAAAAGAATACGAGCTGAGTTTCTTGTCAGTTCTCTTCTCATCTCGATATAATTCCGAACTGACGGTAGATTGGACATATCATCAGAGTCTATAATAGACCTAGAAGAATAAATATATTTTGAATTTGAATTTGTATATGTTGCCATATCCAATTACCATTAGATATGGCAACAATTTTTTTGCTGTTCATGTTACATTAATAGATTTCCATCCGGTGGATCGTCGGCTTGTTTGGTATTACTAGTTATAGTAAAGGATGGAGTAACTTCTGTGTTATCTATATTTATGGTATGTTGTATTAATTGCAGGGTGGCTACCAATACACCGCACCTGGTGAGCCTCGGCACCGGCCGGCTGAGCACCGCTGTCACCTTACATCCCATCAAGCAAGGTAGGTGTAGGAATTTGGGATTTATAATGAGACAACTGAATAATTGTATATTTTTAACACTGCAGAAAGTAAAGTGAAATACCGTCTAACGGCGAATTTAAAGAAAACTTTAAATTATTTTATTTTATTTTACTATATATGTAAGTAGATGTCTATAATCTATAATCTCAAGACAATACACACAGCGTCATCTAGACCCAAGTTAAGCTAGTGTTATGGGTACTAGATAACTGATACAAATACATATTTTTTTCGTAAATACATACATATTATACATAGAAAACACCCAGACCGATATGAACAATCGTACTCATGAATATATGTAAATGTTTGTGCCGTGTGAGGAATCTAACCCGCGACCGTAGTAAGGCGGTGTGCTAATTCACTAGACACTGTCACTAAATCAGCTGGGAGGTAATTTATAGCGGTATATGAATTGCGCTGTGTGAATTGTCCTGAGATTATTATTTTTATTATTATTGCAATGCAATGTAATGCAAACGGTAATAGTGTACTGATAACATGTCAATGGTCGTGCTTAGTGACGTCACACCCGTCCTCTCTCCACTCTCACAGGCCCACGACTTCAGGCAGATGTAGGGTTGTCACCACTCGTGAAGTTTTTTTTTTATATTATTAGAATGGCAAACAAATTTTTTAACCACCTGATGGTAAGTGTAACCGTTGCCTATATACATGAACAGTATTTTTTCCCCTCGTCCAATTAAAATGGGGAACGAAATTACGATGGCCTGAGCCGAGGTTCGAACGCCTAGTGGTGCCCTCAGAAGTGCCCTCTGGTGAAGGTGGAAAGGCCAGCTGCGGTTTTTTTATAGGATAACAATGGAATAATATTCGTCTGAGCTAACAGTAGTCGCTGACGGTATACCAGTGGAAGATTATAGGATGAGCATGAGGTCAGGTCAGTTAGTCCCACGTGACAAATACACTAGAAAATTATCCCGATGGTTTCGAGGGGGAACTGCGTGGAGATCAACCTGACATGGTACATTGCTAGCAATAAGTTCATCAGTCATTACTAACGACCCCCTGTCCCCGCCACAGAATTACGGTTATTATTATTAACACCAGGGTGTCATGCGCAGGTAGTTCATTCCACAATCTATGTTGCTAGCAATAGGACCAATATTACAATTACTTACTTAAAACCTCTTCTCTCCCAAGCATGAGAATTATAACCAATGTCATACGATATGTTCAATGATCATATGTTTAAATACGGATAGGATAATGCTTTACAAAATACGCCGTCATATTATTGACGCTTATTTGCTATTCTAATTATTTAAAAAAAATGTGGTGTTAGACTCAGTGCTTTTGTGGCAGCCCTAAGGCTGGGTGATTGTATTGAGATTGCGCCCAAGAAGCCGGTTCGATACCGAAACATGATTGCCTTGAAATAACCTTTGCTTAACAAAATACGACATACATCTCTGTGTATGTATATTATATCTCTATAAATGTACATAAATATATATATATATAGGAAATGTTAGAATTTCACGTCTTCACTTCCCTCACAAATCACAAACAATTATATTATGTCATTATTTACTTCAGAATAATCAAAAGTTTTGTATTTATTTCTAATATAAATAATAACGATCTATATGATAAAGAATTATATGATACTTCATATTAAAAAAAAACATTTTCAAACCAAAACTTTACAACTAGATTTACAATCCGTATTCGCTCGTTAGAAAATATATTTTATACCAAAAAAATTCTATAAAATCATGATAGGTTTAACCGAATTGTGTTCGTTTTTCACTATTATATTACATACATATATAGAGAATATATAGAGAACGCCCAGGACCGATACAAACAATAATACGAATACAAATGTTTGTACGCTGCGAGGAATCGAACCCGCGACCATCGGAAGTAAAGTGGTGCTATAAACCGGTAGACCACCGAGGCCGTAGACGATATTTGTTAAATCATATTTATTGAGCAAAGCCTATTACACACTAAACGATTACTTGAATGACAAACTTGCATGGCAATAGTTGTTTATGCACTGTATTTTCACTTAATGTTAGCCATAGACACCTACCAAAGAACACAATGTAAAAAACTGGCCGTTAAAAAAATCTGTTGAGTTTCTTGCCAGTTCTTCTTAATTGAATCTGTATACTGAACTAGACGGTAGAGAAAATATGATAATACATAATATTGACGATCATAAGCGGCTAACATGTCTTGCATGAATAAATGATTTTTTATTTTGATTTGATTTAATTTGAATATAGATTTATTTTATTCTGAAATGAAATGTTTCTTGTGTCTTCTAACAAATAAATACACCGCTATAACAATCGAGTTACCACTACAGATCGTTGTCTGGCATTTTACCCCACTTGAAATAGTTAACAGACCTTTAAACTTTTATACTCATTGATATACATATTTATTCGATACTCATATATAATAGTCATAGACTAAATCTGTATATTGTAAATTAATAACATATAGAAGTCGATCTACCACAAGATCAAAACAATTTTTAATTGAACCGCGCAACAAAATCAAAGAGGCTGACAAGATGATCTCTACCTTGAGAATTAATTAAAGATCGATACAGGAAATCTTTGCTCGAAACAAGTAACATTATTCTTCATTAAGACGTCGTTTTTTTTCCACATTTGAGTAAGATGGGTAATTTTAGTATAGGTAATTTTAGTTTATTTCGTGCAAACTAGATGGCGCTGTACAAAAATTGAAATCGTAGCCGGTCTGCAGAATTTTAATTAAAGAACTCTATCATCTATACATATAAATATAATTGGAGTGTCTGTTTGTAATATTGAAATAACCGTTTTTTACTACATGCATATGAATATATGTATGGTACATATACCAAAATAACATTTTTTATAATTTTTGTCGGTCTGATTGTTCCGGCTAATCTCTGAAATGGCTGGACCGATTTTGACGGGAGTTTTTGGGAGATAGCTCATGTAATAAGGAGTAACTTAGGCTACTTTTTTTTTAGAAAAATAAAGTTAAATTCCACGCGGACGAAGTCGCGGGAACAGCTAGTCCTTATATAACTGTAGTTTCAATTGAAACCTTCGAAATTACGACGACCTCAGACTAAAGTCATACGACTTTTCTTCCGTCAGGTGGGAGGTGGCCTTCAGCCGCTCCATAAGTCTTCCCGCGGGTTTGGGGTGCCATCTGCTCGCATATTGTTCCATGAAGCTGTAAAGGCTTGTCAGGTGATTGGACCTGTAGCGCTGCGACCTATATATTATGCTGCTCGCCCTTTTTCAGAGTTCATTATTTAGGTAGGACGGGATCCATCAGGGACAAGAATTGTAGGATATTCTTAGGAGCGATGGTTTTTATATCCTCAGGATAGAGTATAAAGTTTTTGCCGACGTCATTATCATATTTAGCTGCATTGCTGAACACATTGACATGATACATTACTAGCGGTCAATAGTCCCCAATTAAACATAATTACAAAAAAAAAACATTAGGGGTTAAATTTACCCCCTAATGTTTTTTGTTTGTAATTATGTTATGGTAAGATGGTATATCGCTAACAATAGAACCACTATTCCCTATTACCAATAATCCCCTCCTCCCACGAGGCATAGCTGAGCCGTTAAGCCGTGGAAGCGCAACAAACAAACTGAATTTAGCATTTATAATATTAAGAGGCCTTTCACATTTTTTGGCCTAAAAGCAGGGTCTTTGGGGTTCTGGTTCTAAGAAATTAAGAGTCGGATATACATTTTGATTCCTGAATTATATAGATAGATATCTAATCTTAAAAACTACATCTTTGAAATGTTAATTTTCTTTTGTTAGTCTTCCTAATTTCTAAAATAGTTTATTCAAAAACGCTAAGAGACAGAAGTTTGGGGTCGTCGTTCATTAATAAACAAACATAAATTGATATGATATCTGTACTAAAACTTGATAATTACTTTATAAATTGAGACAGCATCGTCCTTTTTTTCATTTTCAACTTAAATATCTAAAAAATTGATCATAATTAAACCCCAAATTTCAACAAAACTTTGCCATAATCATTTCTAATTTTCTCATAAATACAACGAAATTTTTGCATAAAAAAAAACATAATAATAAAGTCAATATACTTGTAAATTAGAAATATAAAAAAAATATAAGTTTCTAAGAAAAAAATAAACAATAATAATAATTGAAAGTTGTATAAATTCCGTTGCGCCAAAAGTAAATTCTCAGTGCTGCGCTAGCGCTCGTCGAGGTAGGACCTATGCTATTTTTTACGACACCGCTACGATAAGACATTCGTAAACATTTGTCAGTGAACATTAGTATACTGCGACTAAACAATTTTGATAATTTAAGTAATATTTAATTAATTTTGCTAATACATACTTATTTCTACGTAATATTACTTTAATTACATAATTTAAAGTTGTTGTTAAATATATATATATATATATAATGTTTATTTTAGCATGATAAAACAAAAGTAAAGTTATGCTACAAATAAAACCTACCTAGCAACCTGCTGCACTATGAAAAGCACAAGAGCATGGTATTTCGTCACACTAATGGCAATTAATAGTTAAAATTAAAAAAGAGAACGTTTTAGTATTTTTAAAAATAACGCTTATCTGAGAGAAAAATGTAAGAAAATGTAAACCAATTTTACTTTATGTTTATTTTTATTTTAGTGACTACAAAGAATCTTAAAATTTTTAGAAAATTATCTTTAAATACAGGTTAATAACGATAATCATATTCTGAAATTAAAGACTTGCAGGTTGTTTTTGATTATCATAAAAATAAATACACGTGATATCTAACCACACTGCCCCCCTTTCAAGCCTCACGTGCTTAATCTACATAAAAAAATATTTGTCACATTCCAGGTCGCGTGACAATAGGCTCGGACCCAACATGTGACATCTACGTGGTGGGGACAGGGGTGGCGAGCGTGCACTGCCGCGTGGAGAATTCACACGGGGTGGTCACTTTGTACCCCATCAGTGGTAGCACGCTACTCGACGGGTTACCAGTTGACAAGCCGACGCGGCTTTCGCAGGGTTAGTATTCATGCATTGTGAAATGATAATGAGAATAGTTAAGATTCTACCGTATAACTGTGAAAAGGTGATATACAGACAGACAAACTCTCGAATTTATAATATTTTTATCGATTACTTCCCTTCCCTACCATAGACTAAAAAAACGAATGATCCGTTATCAATATCCGTCATGGTCCCTATTTGACGCTACCCTTGAGTTCGCTAAGCGTTGGATTTGAAGGATGCATGGAGTTAAAGAAAAGTTGTTAAAGTTATTACTCTAAAATTTTGCAGGTAGCATGCTCACCATCGGCCGGTCCAACTACCTCCGCTTCAACCACCCTGAGGAAGCCATGCTGATGAAGTCTGTGCTACCCTCCGCTCACGTATCCATGGCGCCAATACAGTTTCAACCCAACGAGCACTGCATCACGGGTAACTATCTGTATATATTCATGCCAAGACCGTCTTCTTACGGGGTAGGCAGGGAGAACAAAGTAGCAACGAGTACAGTAACACAGATGTTAAAGAGGTAAGTAAACACTAAACCAGATGCGTTGTGAACCAAAGAAGATAGAAAATTATGCGAGATGGATACATCTAGCAGTTGACTAATATAAAAATGATGCTGAAGAAGATGTAAACATTATCAACCGATACAACAGGAAACAAATATTAAGTAGCGACGCCTCATCACATCGTATATAACGCTACAGTGATAACCATAGCGCTACAGTATAGATAATAAACAATTTTCATAAAAAGTTTTTAACATTTAGCTGGAAAGAAATTGAAAGCGCAGGCGTATTTTATGCTTTATTCTGATTCTCTTAATGTTCCTACTTGTATGTATATTGTTTACAAACATAGCGCTTTAACGAAATGTTTTTCTGTTGTTTTAGGTTATGTCACTCATCACTCAGAATCTACCAACCAATGTTACCAAACCACCAACATACAACAATTATATAAAGATAACAGCCTCACACAACTGGACCATGAATTAGACCTAACTCTCAAAGAAATGTCTAGAAAAAAACCACCGGTAGCGCCTAGGAAACCTTACAGAGATCTAGACCAATCCGATTCTAATTCGGACCAAGAGTCCAGACCGAAAGTGTCCAGTATTATGGCCAAGGTGTCCAAGTTTGAATATTACGCGAAACAGCAGAAAGTGGGCCGAAGTCAATTTTACACTTCCAATGAAAATGAAATATCTCCTAAAGTATTTAGTTCGAATTCTTTAACAGTCAACACACCGGCAAAGGATGTGTTAGGTGGTAAAAATGTACCCAACTACATAAACAGAAGCATGCAAGAACAAAAAGTCATACAAGTGAATGATAACAATTTGGATCCTAAGAACTGTTCTTATGCAAACGTAGCAATAAGGAATAAAAATAAAATTGACGATATAGTTAGAAATTTTGATGATAATACACGCAGTGATTACAATAGATTACCCAAGAAAGTTAACAACGATCAACAAATTAAAAGTGATAATGTTTATGGAAGAATAAATGTGAAACAAGAACAAAATGAGAAGAATAATATTGAAACATATAAGAATAATATAGAAACTTGTAAGAGTGTAGTTGAAGCTAAAAATAATGTTGAATCTTTTAAGAATAATGTTGTAGTTGCTCGAATAGAAAATGATATGGAACAATCTAGAAATGATATGTATGGGAGGTTGTGTGATAGAAATGTTGGTGCTTCGAAACCTATAAACGTTCCTTCACCAGCGTATGATAGAAACCCACAGTATTCACCAGTTTACGCCAATTGCCAGTACGACAGAAGTTTGGAAGCTGAAAGTAAAAGGATGAGGGTATGTACTTTAAAAATAATATGTACTATATTCTTTAAAAAATATCCATATTACTACGAACAATCATAAATACAAATGTTAATATGGTGCGAGGAATCAAACCCGCGACAATCAGAAGTAGGGATGTGTGTAAAGCTCTAAAGCGTAGCATAGCCTAATTTCTGAGGAAGATTCTAAGTTAATCAACATTACGCTGCAATCCTTAGGAGCTAGACAAAAAGAAATAATCTAAAGAAACACGAAAATGTTTAATAAAGCGGTCTGTTAACTTAGATAGTAGGTATTTCCGCAAGGATGTTATATTGTTTCTATGTATATTCACTTCAGGCCTCTTAAGGGATAGGCAGATGCCACAGAGTGAATCCTTTCGCACAAAGTTTCCAACATATGTAGTGGTTGAAGGAGGGCCTTTTACCATTGCATATATTGTCTCCTATATACATTCTAGTTACATAGATTTGGTTCTTCTATCAGTCAATCTATCTTACAATCTTGCAACTAGGGTATAATGTTGCACAAGCGAGAATGTACTGTATTACTTATCTACGAGAGTTTATTTTTGTTTAAGTTACTTTATAGGGTGAATCATATGTACGTAATTCTGTGACTAAGTAAATGATAAAGCAAAGATACTTTGGGATTTAAGGTGTCTATGTCATGTTCATGTCTATAAAAGACAGTTATAAATACCATCACGCCTCTTATCCCAGATGGGTTAGTCAGAGGAAGTCAAATGTCGACGTCCTGATAAACTCAACATTTGGCATGTCCACATTTCGCTGGGTATATTTGGATACTCTGGTATTGGTAGTGACAAAGAGCAAGCCTGCCTCCGTATCTTGAATTTTTTATGTAAATAGGCTTATAAAATTGAAGAGTTTGTAAATGATAATCATGTTTTTGTAGAAAAAACTTAATATTCATAGTGTTGACAATGTTATCTGATTGCACAAGGAATTAGTGCGTAGCGGTTTCTATGTTGATTATCGAATGCTTCCTACTTTACTCTGTTTTATTTATTTAAAATAACATTTATTCAAAAGAGCGACACGCAGTTTTTCATTCGTTCTTCTTGTGATGAGTTTGCGTGCGATATATTGAGTTTATTTGTATTAAGATTATTTCTACTTCTATTTCAAAACAATGCAGAAATACAAATAGAATAGAATAGAAAATCATTTATTCAATTAAACTCACATTGAAGCACTTTTCATGTCATAGTCATCATATTTTTTTTTCAATCTATCACTCATTTGGAATGCTGTCTCACCACAAAAAGAACGGGCGGAAACTTGCGTGTTTCTCTTTTAAATAATTTTGTTGTCACTTTACTTTTTTAAGTTGAAGTGTGTGAGTACAAACTACCAACTTGCACTAATTCAATGAATTACTCAAATAGAGAAAATATTAAATATACTTTTCATAATACGGAAATGGAACCAGCCCTTAATCGCAATAAATATACAGAATTTTAGAACTTGAATCACCATCGCACATGTCGGTCTGTCTGGTTGTATTACGCACATCCTTAATAATAGCCGACGTCTTGACATCTGAATGAAAAATCTACAATGTTTTATTTTTGAACATGCAAATGCTGTATTATTATCTATCATAATATATATATATATATATATATATCTATAGCATCTATATTTATGTAAAAAAATATATATTTTACAGTCATATTTGAAGTGTGGCTGCGGTTTCAGTTTAGGCGATTTGCGTTTGTGATATATTTATATTTATCTAAAATTTTTAAAAGTATGGAAATTTTATAAATTATTTTAGTATTTCTCAACATGGTATTTGAAATCCTGAAGTTCGTTAGGTAGACTGCGGTGTATTCACTGCAGCGGTAATTTACATATTCGGCATGTAAGGATAATGATGTTACATGTATAATGAGCATGAAATCAGGTCAGTTTCTCCATCGTATTCTGGAGAATTTAAACAGCAGCTTTCCAACAGGGACTGGGAAGTCCACCTGCCATAGTACATTACTAACAGTGGGGTCACTAATCCACATTTCTAAAAATACTCTCTCCTCTTTAAACCAGAAAATCTAAGTAAAAAACTAAAATAAGAACTCTTAGTCCATATATAAGTGATCAGTAGTACAAATAACCACTTCAAACTGTTTAAAAAGTGATAGAAAATTGATTCATTTTATGTTCTAAAATCCGCTACCGCTTGCTTTTTATTGTAACACCGCAGCCTTACAACATACGGCCTTTAGATTACAACTGTCTTATTTGATTACTAATTTAATGAAATGCTATCATTTGATAATGAAATACGTAATTGATAACACAATGCTGCATACAGTCAAATTATACCTCAGTACGAATTAGGCCTTTACAGCAGCCTTTGTTTAAAAAAAAATCACTGATGCTTTTGTTGTTTGATAGAAAAAAATTAGGAAGGTCATTGTTCAAAAGTGTTTATGTGATATGGACATGCAATGTCGAAACGATCAGCTTACAACTTTCAATTTGGCATTACCGTTTGGTAGTTCAATATTGGATACGCTGAAGGCACACGTGAATCGGAATCTGATTTTAAAAAAAGAAGTGAAATAAATCCATAAATTGTGTTTGTTTAAAAAATATATAAGTTTGAAACATACAATAAAAAAAATTTAATAAATGATTTCATCAGGCGTGTTAGACATAATATTATTATCGTATATAGTGATATTTTCATTGCTTATATACTTAAAAAAAATGACAATGACAGTCAAGAAAGTATATAGAAAACAAAAGAACACATCGTACAGAAAGTTGCTCAAATTATTCACTGTAAATATAAAGAAAAACACATTAGCATTGAAAGAACTGAAATCGACAATCGATTCAAAAAACAATCGAGACGACAATTACAATAAAATAATCGATATATCGAACGCTGTGAATGAAAAACTCGATGAAGTACATAAGTTACAAAATGATATGAAAACGTATAAAGTAATTAATGCACTATTAACAAATCATTATATAAAAGAAACTAAAATACACGCGGACAATATAGAAAATAAAATAACGAATTTGAAGAAACAAATGAAACAGTCGTATAAAGAATTGAATGATCAAATTTCCAATATGGCGGACACTATCAAGATTGCTAAAGAAAGTAATTTCATTAAGAATACTTCGTCAATTGAGAATAGCAATGTTTTTGTTGTCGGTAACAATATAAAATGTAATCAGTTCAATCAATTATTTAAGAGGAATGAAATATATAATCACATTTTAATGAAAATTGATAAAATATTTTGCGGTTCGGTAAGTATTTATGTTTATTTACCTATTTCTAATTGTTTTTTTGTCTCTTTCAATTATTTAAAACTTAAACTTCATTTCGCCAAAACTATAACTGCCGTTCGGAGAAGTTTTGGGCATATCTTCTGTAGGTGCTCTCTCATACTGAAGTTTGGGGAAATCATGGTGATCTTGTTCTTGCCCACTGGTGTTCTGAACAGGGATGGAATCTGGTGCTAATCCTGAATCACTTAGGTTCATTAGTCATAACATTTGCGTAGTATTTGCCGGCCCTGGATTTTTTCTTGAGACATATACGCTAAATAATTTGGAATACCTACATACAATTAAAATCAATACTTATATTTACTTTCAAAAGTGCTTATCTAAAGTTTATTTTAATAAAGATTATTTTTATTTCTGATTTTGTGTTATGGGTACTAGATAACTGATACAAATACATAGATTTTTTTTTTTGTAAATACATACATATTATACATAGAAAACCCCCAGACCGATACAAACAATCATACTCATGAATACAAATGTTTGTACCGTGCGAGGAATCGAACCCGCGACCATCGGTCGTAAAGCGGTGTGCCAAACCGCTAGACCACCGAGGTCGTTTTTGTTATCGAGTATCGTACTACGTAATACAGACATACGGCAAAGTATACTATGTATTGCTTTTTTGTCAAAAAACATTGTCCAACTGCTAAATACGACTTGTTTCAAATATACAGTATTTTTTTATATCAGTCAAATCGCCTTGATATGCCTGTTCCGCCATTTATTATTTTCTACAGGATAAACTTCCGGGTAACTTATCTCGTATAGTCGTATTCGGAGACTTTTCGTCATCAGATAGGTGATGATTGATGATGATTTTTTTACCATTGCCATTTTTTACATGTAGAAATAATTATATCGACTCATACATAAAATTCGAAAAGAAGGTAGTTTATAAATCACAAACTCATTTAATATATGTGAGGTTTTTCCTTAAAATTTAGTTCTTAGAAAATTTAATATTATCGAAACTCCAGTGGTCGCTGAAGTTTCTTTTCCAATAAACGACGGCATTTTTCCATACCACAGTGATGGTGAAGAAGCATACGGCCCACCTAATGATGAATGGTTACAATAAACTTTGATCGCATTAAACACCAGAGGCGTCACGTATACATAGAGATATATTAGAAATTACTGATATGACTTATTAAATATATGTAATATGACAAGATAAAGAATTAATACATCAGAGGAAGTATGAAAGTAGCGCCAGTGTGAATGAAGAGAATATTTTAAAGAAAGTGTTATATATAGGTTATAAGGGCAGAGGAAAGCCAAAAATGGGATGGATGGACTATGTGAAAGATGCTATGACAAGAAACGGAGTAAGTAACGAGATTATTGCAAACAGAGATGAATGGAATAGAAAAACATATTACAAAGACCAGATGATCCTACCAATTGGGGTTGGTGTAATTTGATTTTCAATCTGATAAGGAAGAAATAGAAGATGATATTTCATATATAGTTTAGCATACCGCTCCACTTCCAATGGTCGCGGCTTCGATTCCTCACCCGGTACAAACATTTGTATTAATGAGTATGATTGTTGTATCGGTCTATCAGTCTGGGTGTTTTCTATGTGGGTATTATCTACTTATAAAGAAAATAATTAAGTATTTATGTCAATTGTCTACTACACATACGCATAACTCAAGCTCTGCTTAACCTGGGACTAGATGGCGTTATATAGTGTCCAGGGATGAATGGGTATTGTCTACTTATAAAAAATATTTAAGTATTTATGTCAATTGTCTACTACACATACGCATAACTCAAGCTCTGCTTAACCTGGGACTAGATGGCGTTATATAGTGTCCAGGGATGAATGGGTATTGTCTACTTATAAAAAATATTTAAGTATTTATGTCAATTGTTATATACGTGTCTGCAGGGATAGCGTTATAAAGTATCCAGGGATATTATCGCTATGTTATATCTGAGACTAGACTTTTTTATCGTCTGTAGTCACCTTTATAGAAAGCGTATATAGGTAGGTACCTCCCAAATTCCCCCAACTGTATCAGAACAATAAGGCTTGCCGCACACTATCAGAAATTTATAGCACTACGATATACCACTAGACTAAACTATCTACAATTAATCCATATGCTTATTACATTTTATATATAAAAATTATATGTCACGTTGTGTCCGCGATGGATTGATTTGCACATTGTGTGCAATTTGATCCAACTTGAAAGATATAGCTTACATCTCAATTTATAGTCGCAATATTATTTTATTCAAGAACTTTAGCCACAGCAACGCATGTCCGGGTCTGTAAGTTGTATATATGTTTTTCATTGCCTATAACGCGTGAATATGAATACATGTGGCATTGTATCTAGAAATATTAATATTATAGTTCTATATAATATAAAAATTTATAATATAAAAGCTCTCTCCATTTTTTACATTTTTATATCTCAACGATTGAACCGATTTGAATACAATTTAATGTAAAGATAAATCGTATCACAAGGATAGAACATAGCGTTCTTTTATTTCAAAAAATAACTGTTAGGGGTTGAAGTAAGGGTTGAAAGTTTGTGTAGACGAAGTCGCGGGTAGCACCTAGTAGATTATAAAAAATAGGTGACAAATAAAATAACACAGATTGCAAAATAACTATAGATAATGTCGATAAGTCTTTATGTTTCCAATAGGCTAAAGATTACCAAGGAACGTAAAAGATAACCAACTGGGTACGTTATCGTATATCGACATTTATATTTTAGTGTTTAATTAAACATCTAGCGTAACCTATACAGTTTTTATGTTCTAAAATATGTGACTATTCCTTAATAATTTGTTATATATTCATAATACATTATTGCACCAACATTAAAAGAAAATACAAGCATATTTTTAAGTTATCAGTGATTAATTATATATTGTTTACATTAAATTACACAATGAATTAATGAAACAAGATTAAAATGGTGTGCGTTACTGTGTTTTTGTTTACAGGTAAGTACGATAGGCTTTTTCTTAATGTGATAATACGGGAAGCACTAGCTTTCAATTGACAAAAAAGTAGGTTTAAAAAGTTTAGGAAGGCACGGTAGAGGAGCGCCATTCATACAGATAATCAGGATACTATTTTAGTTCATTTTTAGTAGTTTCTACTTAGAAGAACTTCTTGTTTTCGGGAAGGTTTGTAATTAGAGTTAAAAACACGTAATAATTACAATTGAATTGAGACTCCTTCTTTGAAGTTGGTTGAAAATACAATGTAATGAAAGTGTGTTGTCTGTAGTTTTTTTTTATAAAGTTACGAAAAATAGGACATTCGGAAAAGATGAATGCCATTATGTATTATTATTGCCGGCATTTATGGTCTAATTCTAATAAATTCGATTCTTCGCATGATACAAATATTTGTATTCATGAGTATGATTGTTTGTATCGGTCTCTGTGTTTTCTACATACATAATAATAACAATATTAGCATAGGACAATTCACAAAGGGTCATCTAGTCCCAAGCTAAGCAGAGCTTATGTTATGGGTACTAGAAAACTTATAGAAAAACTTAGATACTTTGTTTTATAAGTACACACATAATATAGTTAATATAATTAGAACAATATTTTAATAGAAAAATACTTATAACATTTTCTAGATCTCTTTTTACTTTGTTTTATTCTGTATAATTTTTTATTATGTATGTGTGTGTACAATAAAGAATACACACATAATATAGTTAATATAATACTATTAATTTTATTAACGTCTATTCTATATTTTGTGTCATCATATGTTAATGTGTCATCAGGCATACCAGGATAGAATAAAAGAAGAAGAGCAGAAGGTAGCTGAAACAGCGCGGCTGGAAGAGATCCTAAACATGTGCGCTGAATACGAACGACAAATCGCCACAGGTGAGTTTTTTTAACTCGTGCACAACTCACACAATTCCAATAAGCTGTAGCAAGACCTCAGTCTCACCCACTTGGGCCGCCATGCAAAGCAAGCTGCTTTGTAAGATGTGTTTCGATTGTAGGGTGTTGATTAGGGAGTGATATTACAGGATAAGAGGCATGGCATCTCAGTTGTCTGGAGGCAATGCATGAGTTGTATCGCATGATAACGTGATAAAGTGTTATGTATATAGGCGATAGTTACTACCTCGTAGGAATATATTGAGGAATGTAAAGTATGCAAAATTGGTATGTAGGAATCGTAGCGGACGATAGCCGCTACTTCTTCTTTAGTTAGTAGTAGTAGTTTAGTTTAGTTCTACTTCTTTAGTCTCTGTCTACGCCAATGAAAGACAGCCGTGACGATATTTATGTATAACTTATAGAAAATAAATTTAAAAAAATTGTAGGTATGTTACTAAATTTGCAGTACACTTTTTGATAAAAAAAACTATTATCTCTTTTAGCAATATACTTATTGTGAATTTTAATTAATAAGCGAAGATATATTTTCATTTGTTATACTTTGTATGTTACACATAAAAAAGAACAAATATAAAAACTCTTTGTAAATAATTAAAATAATATGTTTGTATTAATTCAAATATTTCAGGTACCCCAATAACACCCACAGAAAAAAGGTCGCACAATAAAATCATAACCAACGGATCTCTGCCACGTAGCGTCGCTCTCAACAACCCTAATTTTGTTCAAACCAGTGAGGGATATTATAAGTAAGTATATCTATATATACCAGTATACGGTCCACTCCACAAGTGTACCAGAATGGCAGCTACTAGCTGCCATTCTATCTTCGGGAGAAATGGCGAGATGTCGTAAGCCGAATGACATCTGCTTCTCACTCCACTATATAATGATCACGACCGTGCTGCCAAGAGCGTATCGAATGAGAAGAAAAAGAAGAAGAATATCTATGTGACAGACAAACTAACCCACGTTCACATGTTTAATGTAACGACTTTGGAATTTAGGGGATTGTTATATGTATATATGGATATGGACTTTTTTTTTGTATATGATAATGGAATGGCGCACCCGTCTGCGCTAACGGTTTACGCTGGCGGGGCACCAGTAGAGGATGATAAGATGAGCATGAGGTCAGGTCAGTTAGCCCATCGTAACAAATTCACCAATAATTTATCACGATGGTTTCTAGAGGGAATCGCGTGGAGATCAACCTGACATGGCACATTGCGAGCAATGGGGTAGCAATATGGACTAATATCCCTAAAGCTACTTACTTACCCCTGTAAACTAGTAGGAAGACCTAAAAATGTGTAAACTGTGCTTCGGTTATAGGGGATAAGAGGCATGACATTTTGGTTCTCTGGATTAGCAACGCATGAGTGGTATCAAGAGTTTCATACGATAACTTGATGTCGGAAGTACTTTCTAAAACAGTCTTCCTAACGACGAATCTATTCGTTAATATTTATTCTAATTAACATAATTATGTAAATCACAATTTCTCACAAGCTATTTTCAACTTTAATTCTTAAGCGTTTTAGTATAAAATACGAGTACTTGACAATGAGAACCGGGAAGGGAAACAATAGTAATATACATACAAATAATTAACTTACATCTGTAGATAACAACTATCTTATCTTGAGGTAGCTAACGTCAAGCTACTATACACAGTACTTTGATGCTGCGAATTTAGCAGAGATTCAAGATTTTATTAATATCACCTACCCTATAAATTTTTAAGTTATGGCCATATTTAATATGGTACACAAATTATATACTAAATCTTACTAATATTATAAAGACAGAAGTTTGTGATTATGGATGGATGGAAGGACGCAAAAATTACTGAATGAAATTTATAATAATAATAATAATAATAATCTAATAACAATTCACACAGTCCAGATTAAGCTATCTAAAGGATACTAGATAACTGATACAAGTACATAGATATTTTTTTTTCGTAAATACATACATAATATACATAGAAAACACCCAGACCGATACAAACAATCATACTCATGAATACAAATGTTTGTGCCGTGCGAGGAATCGAACCCGCGACCATCGGACGTAAAGCGGTGTGCTAGACCGCTAGACCACCGAGGTCGTCAAATTTAAGATTAAACATCAGAATAACAAGCTATAAATTTCTCGCGATGAAACCACCGGCACAACTAGCTAACTAGCTAACACATATTGTTTCCTTTTAAATATTCTTTTATTTGATAAAATCTTAAAATCAACTTTTATTAATTCTAATAATATCCATTAATTTCAGATTTGATACTAGTCACAACCGCAACAACACTCAAAACAAATCACTTCCAACGCAAAGGAACTTGTCTAGCTACGAAAATATCGACGTTTCCCAGACAGAACAAAATACACCAGAAGTTACAATTAAAAATCATACTAAAAACGTTGGTCGTATGGATGAAATTGGTATACCAGTATTCGATGACACACACGAGTTATCTAGTCCTGTAATGATAAGAAAAATGAACAACCAAGGTGAGAATCGAGTAGCAGTCTCTTCGCCTGTAGGCAGCCCTTACGAAAATATGTATTACAATAGGAATAATGTATATGGTAATTTAAAACCGAAATCTCCAAATACGCAAAGTCCAAGGACTCGAATAAAGACAACTTTCGCTCATAAGAATTTGCCATCTCCACAGTATTTCATTTTTCCTACTCCACCGCCTAAAGAAAATAGCAATATACCGGACTTCGATACAAGAGAAGTATCTCCAAAAGCAACTTATTCAAAAGACATATTAATAGAGACATCTCCAAAACAGACAATTTCAAAAGAAAATAGTCCATTTGAATCAAAAAGCGAAGTTAAATTTGGAGGAATCGAAAAACAACTTAGTCTTGAAGAAGAAATACCAATGATCGATGATTCAGATTTAACAAATGATATAGAATTTAGGTATTCTAAAGTTATCGATAAAGAAGACGAAACTTCATCTGTCCAAGAACCTAAAGATTCTAAGCCCAGCACACCAAAAGAAGAAACAACTGCAATCATCGAAGAAAGCAATCTCAGAAAAAATCAAAGTTTCGATGATGTCAAAAAAGAACTAATGGCAGATATACCAGAATTAGAAGAGTTTGAAAATGACTTAAAACAAAACAAAGAAGAAAAGCTAATGAAACATATAACTGAAGATATCAGGAAAATCGACATAGAAGCAGATTCGCTTGAAAGTACAGTATTAGATGACAATGTTGAAGAATTGAAAATGAAATATGAAAGTTTAAGAGAAGACCGGAAAAAATACGTTGCGGAAATACACGAGATCAAATGTAAGATGTCGGAAATCAGATCACAAGAGGATGAAATCTTAAGAGAAGTGAGTATTGCTAGCTTACAATTATACACTTTATGTTACATTTTTTTTTTCTTTTTATTCATGATATAGAACTTTCAAAAAGTACTTTTGTATAAAACAATAATGAAACTATTTTCATAATTCTAGTTGGAAATGGAGAAAGCTCTTATCAAAGGCGAGTACGACTCAGAAATAGCAATACTGAACATAGAACAAAAGAAAAAAATGGAACTGCTGGAAAATGCCAAAAAGATAGAAGAAGAGATCAAACAACTGAAAGAGAAGCAGGAATGTCGGCAAAATGAAATGAGAGATAGAGTAGATATTGCTACTACGAAAGTGGAGAGGTAAGTAATAAACAAGTACATTTAATTAAATTAAAAGAAGCCTGATAGCTAATGAAATCTCTCGTCAACTAGGTATCAAAAACCTAAAAAGATCTTGACAAATGTTAGCAAAAAATCAACTAGATCACATCAGCTATAAATATCATAAAAAAAGTTCAACGTAACCCAATAAAATCTATTTTTATTTGGGAGCTATGATGCCACAGACACACAAATGGATACTAACCTTATAAAAATATTTTTATTTCGCGTTGTGTGTTAATACAAGAAAGAATAATTAAAACTATTCTCTCGGGAAGAAGTATTCCAGATCCCTTAAGGAGTACATAGACAAAACGGAATGCAGTTGAGTACTGTAGACAGATACTTATTTATATTTTTACAATGTATGTACTAATTCCATTAACTTGACTTTTCAGATTAGAAAAAGACCTCAAAGATAACACAGCAACTTTAGAAGAACTACAAAATGCTCAAGACATCCTTGACAACGAAAGTAAAATGTTCGAAGACTTAGAATTTCAGCATTTAGAAGAAGAGTCTGAATTGTAAGTTCTCAATTTTCTGATTACAAACAAGTAAACGTGTTTATAACATTAGTATGCAAGAATAAATGTTTATTTTATATTAGTTATGAATAATAATAGTTTTTATTAAGTCTGGAAATTTTACCTTCCCAGATTGGCAAACAGAGAAGACCTCCAAAATGACATAATACTACTATCGAAAAAGATTGACGCTCAGAAAGCTCGTATACTTACACTAAAATCCGAAGCTAATAGCAATCTTACATCCGCCTTAGATGAAACTAAAGTCTTACGAGCCGAATACGTCCGCCTACTTAACAAAGTTGAGGATTTAACCAGCAAAGTGCAAGGTTTGGAAAAAGAATTGAAACCTATACTAGCTAAACTTAATTATATAGAACGAACGCAGTCTCCAGATAGTGCATTTTTCACTGACATAACGAGGGCAAAGTCTGGCGAATTTGGGTATTCACCACAAAGCTCAGATAGTGACGATCTCGATCTTACGAAAATATCCGAGGAACACACGAAACAATTAAAAGACAAGTTCAACTCTATAGATCGAATGTCCCAATCTATGATTGTGGATATCGAGAGGAGAGTTATTGGTGACGTTGTCGATGTAGAGGAAAGAATCAGCGAAAGTCCGTCTAAATCTTCTACTTCTTCTAAAGAGAAGAAAGGATTTTGGGAGAGGAATTTCGATTCGCTTAAACGTAAAAGTAAAAAGCAGAAATCACCTGAAAAAGTTGATATCATGTCTCAAAGTTTAAATGAAAATATTTTCTATAATAATGAGAATATAGAGAATGATTTGGATAAATTTAATAGTTTGAGAAATTCTAAGAAAGAAAAGAAAGAGAAGAAAGACAACGGTCCTGTCAAAAGCAATTCGTCATCTAAGATACCAACCTTTGCTGCGTTAGGTAAAATTATTAAGAAAGATTCGTTTGGAAGAAAATCTCGAGAGAATAGCGTTAGCAAAACAGAGGATTCGGAAAAAGACGGTAAGACTTCTAATTGTACACGATATGTTAAGAATGCTAAACCCGTTATTAGTGATAATAAATACGTTAAAGCGAAATCATTATCTCCCGATAAATTGGGTAAAGAAGGAGATTGTATCAAGGAAGAACAATTAGAGGATGATGCAAATAATCAGAAAAACAAAGTCACCTTTGATAGTTTAATTCGTAAAAATTCCTCAGGTAATCCACTGGACAGTCCGGCTAAAGTTTTGCACAGAAAAAGTTGTGGAGACGAACCGAACAATAAAATATTGACGGAATTTCAAAAAATCTCTGATTCAGGAAAGATTCCCTCTCAAGATGATATAGATAGGATTTCAAAAGTGACCATAGATGCGCCATTACTTTCAAGTGACACGGATATGAATTCGCTGGGGAAGAAAACGCTCGATAGTTTAATGGAGATTGAGAGAAAGAGGCTAGAAATATTGGAAGAGCAAGGTTAGTGTTTGATAATTCCATAATCCATATTTTTATGTAATTGGAATAGCAAACAAGCTGATAGTCCACCTGATAGCAAGTAGTAACCGACACGTAAATGAACAGTTCTGACATCATGTTATCACGTGACATTCGTGATACCACAAACGCGTTTCCATTTCAGAGTACTAAGATATCATGACTCCTGTGCTTTCATTTCACTATATTATCTCTCACCCTTCAACCGAAATACAGTTTATAAAGCAATCTGCTTTGCAGCTGAAATAGGTGAGACTGAGGTACCCACGCGGTGGTACACCCGAGATAGACAACTTTTTATAAAGTCTACTACAGTATGATGCCTTTGGTGCTGTTCTTATACATAAACAACAGTTGTATATTGATATTAAAATTAAAATAATACGTCATCTATACTAATATTAGAAAGCTGAAGAGTTTGTTTGTTTGTTTGAACGCGCTAATCTCAGCAACTACTGGTTAGGATTGAAAAATTCTTTTTGTGTTGGATAGTCCATTTGTCGAGGAAGTTTTTAAGCTATATAACATTACGCTACGACTAATAGAAGCGGAGCATAAGTAATAAATGTTGTTAAAATGGGGAAAATTATTCATATTTGTAGGTGCGTTGCGTGACGAAGTCGCGGGCACACCTAATAAAATATAAGATCCGTCCTAGGATTGGAGGTGTTCTAGATTTCATGATTGTATACACAGAACAATTGTGACTCGTCAGGCCCCTTGTTATGTACAATGTCAGACTTTGTTATGTAAAGAAGCTTTCTATATCATTATTTAATTATTATTCTGTACCTGTGTCGTTTCAGGTTGTCAACTAATAGAGAATGAAAGAGAGAAGATATCAGAACTAAAACGAAGAGTGCAAGACGAGACGAAGAAACTCTGGGACCAGAAAAACAGATCTGAACAATCCAAGTCCTTCGACAGCGATCACTGTCAAAGTCTGCCGCCGCTTGACAGCCAAGCTGACAGGTCGATGACTAGTGACAAGTCGTTTGACAGGCCTGTCATTGAAGATACCAGTTTGATGGAGCAGTCGTACTTGATGAACTATCCCAGCTTCTTTGAAGACAGGTAGGTTCCTTTTTTCTTAACCTAGTTCTTTAATCCTTCTACTAAGACTGAGAGATCGGGAATTAGGTTTTTTTAAAATAATCCAGTACAATTCGTTCAGTATCATCTAGTCCTTAATTAAGCAGAGCTCTCTTGGATCGATAAGACCGTTTTGGCCTAGTTGTTTAATGGTCTTAGATGATCTTAGATGTCGGGAGATAGATTTTTTTTTAATAACCTAGGACAATTCTCACAATGTCATCCAGTCCTTAATTAAGTGTATTACAGGTTCAAAACAACTTATAGAAATGCTTAATTATATATATCTTTAAAAATGTATTCTTATTATGCATGGAAACAACACCCAGATAGACAAACAGTCATACTCATTAATAAAACTACTATTAATAATAATACTTTATTATCATTTATTGAGCGGAGCGATCTTAGAGATCAGATTTGCACTCTTTCTAACGATACTCCTCCGAAATGGCTTGATCGATCCAGACCAAAATTTTATCTAAGATCAACAATAGGACATCGTGTACCACTCAAAAAAATAGCGATCGCTGAAGGTCGAGTTTTTAAAAATAAACGCGCTCCACTCAACATGCGACATGGTGTGTAAACAACACACCAGTAACAAACCTAATATCAGATAGACTAGATAGCACTGTGTAAATTTTCCTGGTTTATTATTATTACTATCAAATAACCGATAGATAGTTCGCCAATTCAGTTAAAAAAAAATACCGCCTTACTACTGCGAACGGCTCAGATATTGCAATTGCAAAATATTACAGGATTCGAACCCGCATCATTCCGTCAATGAGTTTGACCCGTTGATAGATAGATAAATTCTTCTTTTACCAATTACAGACATATATGTTACATGAGATACAAAAAAAATCATGACTTAATAAAATAAATCAAGGTGCCTTTATGTGCCGTAAAAGTGAATAGGCTGCCGATTCAGCATAAAGCTACAGCGAAATCTGCAGCACTGTTTCTGTTGTTGGCTCCTGTACTTATACTATACTTATCACTAAAAAAATACATATGTATTAATGTTAATTACTGTTTAATTGTGTATTGCCAAAAATAATATATATAATATGAATAAACTGCAAGGTCGAAATTCCAACCTCAATTCTGTACGCGATACTACCAAAATGTATAGAAATGTACACCTATACAAGTACAGTCCGTAATCGAGTGCTGATAAGATAAGCCCAGTTACACCGCGTCCACCGTACGGGACGTACGAGTTTCGATCGTTTTGGTTGTGGTTGTGTTTTAATAGTGTATCGATACTTGTGACGTAATAACACTTTCTTGTTACACCGAGAAAAGAGAGATAGTTTCATCTTTCTTCTGCTTCTTTATATAACAACTCAAATATTCTATATGTACCCAAAAATTATTTCCAAAAAACAGCAATATTCATAACAATAATACAAGATTTGAAGACAACCGTACTGTTCCTAAGTATCATTTATAAAAAGGCAATGGGTCTTTTATGGGAATGTGTATAAATTTTACTATAATATACCAAAGGATATAATAGTATTACCCTTAAATAAATTTAAAATATCTAAATTATATTTACTGAGCAAACCCTTACTCACTAAACGATTACTTAAATGACGAGCGTGCATGGCAATAATTGTTCATGCACGTGATTTTCATTTAATGTTAGACATAGACACATATATATATATATATATATATATAAGTAAACATTGCAAAAAAACTGCCTTTTTAGAAAAAAAAAAGAAATCCAATTGACTTTCCTGCCAGTTCTTCTCAATTGAATCTGTACCCTCCGATCGATCCCCCGTCCAATTCAAACTGGGATCGAAATTACGACGGCCTGAGCCGAGGTTCGAACCCCTAGTGGTGCCATCAGACTAAAGTCGTATCCGTCAGGCAGGAGTTGGCCTTCAACCGCTCCATAAGTCCTTCCGCGGGTTTAGGGACCATCTGAACTCGCCCCCTAACGTCCGGTGAAGCTGTAAAGGCCAGCTGCGGCCAAAAGCATTAGAGTAGTCCGAAAAAAAAATTGAATCTGTATACTGAACTGGACAGTAAGGAAAATAATAATAATACAAAAAAAATTACGTTCATAAGCGTGAATAAATAATTTTTATATTTGACTTGATACATATAGACATAAAGAAGAACGAATATGGAGTTTGGCGACCAACAAGGCGTTTTTTATTTCAGTTTTATTGACTAATAAATTATGGTACAAAAATCGGACTTAATGCTATAGGCATTTTCTATTAATCAACCTTCAGGATGTGCAGAGATACTTGAACTTATCCATCCGCTATTCTGAACAGGGGTCTAGTGCTAATCACGAACTAGTGTCTTAAGTTCTTTATCCAAAACATGCGACGCCTGCCAGGTCTTCGTCGGTACTAGATTTTTCCTCGAATTATTAATAGCAAAAGACTAATATTTGTTATTTCGCATTATATGTCCGTTGACCGTTTAGTCTTTATCTCTTTTTTTATATAATTGTAATAATAAAATAATTAGGGTAAATGGTAACTGTCACTTATATATATGAACAATATATACAAAAATCATTTGTCCATACATCATACATATAAATAAAATTGTACTGTCTGTTTGTTATATTGAAATAACCGTTTTTACTACATACGTATGGATATAAATACGGTACATACACCAAAATAACATTTTTTGTTTGTGTTTCTGTTCCGGCTAATTTCTGAAATGACTGGGCCGATTTTGACGGGATTTTTATTGGCAGGTAGCGGATGTAATAAGGAGTAACTTAGGCTACTTTTATTTTAGAAAAAGAAAGTTAAATTCCACGCGGACGAAGGCACGGGTACAGCTAGTTTAGAAATAAACCGACTCGGTATATTTAAAACAATTTATTTTCAAAACTTATTTTTATTTATTATATTTTACGGCTTTGGATACTAATTCTTTTGAGCCCAACTTTAACTCAACAAATTACAAAAATTAAAGTCAATGTCTAACAATCGTCAATTGTTTTTACAGTGTCTATCTCGGTATATTCATATCAAATGTCATCTTGGAACATCTCGTTTCCATATCGCGATCATTGAACCCGGTATCAATTGCAGTTAATATAAATAATTCGGCGTGTCACTGTGGCATCATATAAATTGACCTATTATCTACTAAATGAACGGTAGATATATATACATCTGTATATATAATTTTTTATATGTAATAATGGTATAGTGTTAAAAAAACTGACGCTTACCTGATGGTAAGTGGTAAGCGTCGTCTATATACACGAAGCATTGTGTATATAGATGACGGCTACCGTGATACCGTGATACCGCTCATCGTTGCCGTTCCATTTTTTTTTAAACTCATTATTTCAGTATGTCCTTAACAAACATACAAACTGTCTAATATCCACTTTATAATCGTTACTTCCTTACTAATAGTATAAATGGAAAAGTAACTCCAGTTTGTCTGTCTGTAAAATAAACAAGGGGATGAAATTTTGGATACAAAACCATAATTTTTGAAGCTAGAACGATTTTTTTTTTGGTTAGGTGGGTTAGATTATTGAATATATTTGGTCAATATCACATAAGACGCAGGCACAACTATTATTATTATTATTATATATATAAAGTAGCCGTATCGCGACGTCATACGCAATTTAAATAATATGTTAATATATATTTCAATAATAATATTAATTAACTCAACTTTATCATAGAAAACCTAGTGGAATGGAATGCTACCACATAATTCGGTTAAAACCTGAGATTAGCGTGCACAAACGCACAAACATATAATACTCTTTATTGCACTTAAATACATTTGTAAGTATATTAATTACAACTAATGTTAACAAAGGAGGACTACAGGACAGTCAACCCAATAGAGCGTGGCATAGGAAGTGTTGAGTGGGTCAACATTTGCAAATAATAATTTAATAAAAATGTCATAAATAATGAAAACTAAACATCAAAATATAAGGTCCAAAATACAGATACTAATACAATATACTTAAAGATAAAAAATATATATATAACATACATACTGCACATACTGCAACGTTGAAAAACCTTGTTTCTCTATAACAAGCGCGAAGTGTAATTTTTTTCAATAATAAATGTACAGACACGGTTCGTTTATTATTTTATTATATGTAGATAAAACTAAAACCGTGGTATTTCACATCAAATATATCGTATAAGGAAGCCCGCTGAAATCAATACTAGTTTATCTAATCTCGTACTATTATCACATTCAATAATCTCATAAATATACGAAAAACATCCTCCACTACACATTTGTTATATGTTTTCACGGAAATTTTATTAGATGTTATAATGTGGTATGCTTTTTCTATTGTATGGAAAAATGTTCTAATAAATACATTAAATTATTAAAAAAACATTACATATACCATACTGATTTCAGTTTCAGTTTCACCGGCGTGAAATTTATAGTTATAATGTTATTCTGATGTGTAAGCTATATTATTACAAAGTTTCATTAAAATCCGTTCAGTAGTTTTTGCGTGAAAGAGTAACAAACATCCATCCATACTCACAAACTTTCGCGTTTATAATATTATTAATAAGATTAAATAAACACATGCATATATACTCTTTTGCTTATTGTTAAATTCTGTGGTAAATTTGAGAATAGTTTAATATGTTTGTTTGTTGTCTTTAATATTATTTGTCTATAGTCTTTGATAATAAAAGCTTAATAATGTTTAAACTTATAATTTAAATTGTTTATGGTCGAATTTCGACTACTGGGCGACCACTAGTAATAATAAAACTTTATTGCTCACTGAAAAAAAGTATAGAATCGATACATATAAATAAAATTGGAGTGTCTGTTTGTAATATTGAAATAACCGTTTTTTACTACATGCATATGAATATAAATACGGTACATACACCAAAATATTTTTTTTTGCAATTTTTGTCTGTCCGGCTAATCTCTGAAATGGCAGAACCGATTTTGACGGGACTTTTATT